GAGGCCCGGCCTGCACGGGAGGCGGCTGGGCCTGGGCAGTCAGGGCGGAAGCGCGCGGGTCTTACAGGTGCGGGGCGTCTCCGCCAGAGTGAAGACCCAAAGAAGGGACCCCAAGCCCAACTTTTATACACTAGTATTCTCTTAAAACTTTTCAGAAGGACCTATTTAAAGGTGCCAGTCGTGTAGAGATGCGCACGTGTAACACAATTGGGTGCTGTAGCTGCAACACCTGCGAGAGCCACAAATCACCAGGGCACGGAAAAGTGTGAGATGATGACCCAGACTGCAGGCAGGCAATCATAGAAGATATTCACATGGAAAAAAAAAAAAAAACACACAGATAAGGAAACTTAAAGAGTAAATTTACCTGCCACATTGCACACGATTCCTTAACAACAAAAATTTAAGTTTATGGAGCAATTATTATGTTCCAGTTACTGTTGAGAGGTTTTATGCTTAATTACTCTAAAATGCAGGCTCGAAGAAAACAAGGACCAAATTTTTTTTACCCTTACATATTCACACTGTGACAGCTGGTGGTATAGAGCAAGCAATCAATGAGTATTGAATATTCATATTGAAATCGTTTACCATATTATGAGATGCTACTTCTCTGGTTTTTCTTAAAACTGTCTATTCATCAAGTCTCAGCACAAACCAGCCCCCCCATCTCATCTTGGATTGATTGGCCACATAGCTATAATCACAATCCGAGTTATCTTACTTCACTTAGCACTCCTATTAGATTGCTAGCTTCCTAAGGGCAGGACCCCTGTCTGGTTTTGTTCATGCTATTCCTCCAACTAAACAATGTGCTTCTTCCAAAATACAGGTTCATTAAATAATTATGATCTCCACTAATGCATGGTGGGAGGAAACATAAAATTATGGCATATTATACAAGGAATTATTGAAAAAAAATCATATGCCCTTGTAGAAAAAATGTCAACAACAGAATAAATAATATAAATGCAGGCAGAAGAATCTCACTTGTATTTTTAAATGTTTTAATATCCTAAGGAATTGTTAAAGGTAATAACCTCTAAGCAGAAGGGATGGAGTAGGTAGAAGGCAATATGTTGAGGGAAATATCACTTGCTATCTCATACTTACGTATCTTATTAGTACATATTTTAAATATATTTTTTGTTTCACAAGAATTACACATTTATGGGGTATTACAGTATGACGATTCATGTATACAACGTGTAGTGCTCAGGTCAGGGTAACTGGTACGTCTGTCACTTCAGGCATAACATTTCTTTGTATTTGGAAGATGCAGTCCTCCCTACTAACTCCTTTGAGATAATTCAAGTAGTATTATCAACCATAGTTATCCTACACTGTAACAGAATTAGAAGTTACACCTCCATCTGCACCTCAGAACCCACACCTGCTTCTCTGCATCCCTCCCTCCCCCAAACCTTTCCCAGGTTCTGCTAATCACTGTTCTATCCTCTACTTCTTAAGAGTTCAACCTTTTGAATTTTCACATAAGAACATGGTATTTGTCTTCCATGCCTGACTTATTTTACTTAACAGTGCCTCATTCCATCCATGTTGCTGCAAATGACAATTTTTTTTTCATTAATTTTACAGCTGATAATGGTGCACTGAGTATAGAGAACACATTTTCTTTATCCATTAACTCATCCATAGACACTAGATTGATGCTGTAGCTTGGCTGTTGTAAGTGTGAAAGTGCAGATGTCTCTTCAACATTTATCCCCAACAGTGGCATTACTGGATCACATGCTCATTCTATTGTTAGTTTTCTGAGGCACCTCCATCCTGTTTTCCATAATGATCACACTAGTTTACATTCCTACAAACAGGGTATGAGAGTTCTCCTTTCTCCGCTTCCTGGCCAAGATTTGTCTTTTATTTATTTATTTTGTGTCTTTTTGATATTATTTTGAAGATTAGGGATGTTGAGCATTTCCTGTACTTGTTGGCCATTGGTATATCCTCTTTCCAGCAGTGTCTGTTCAGGTCATACACCATTATTAAACTGGATTATTTGATATTTGCTGTTGAGTTGTTTAAGTTCCTTATATATTCCTTATATATTGTTGGATGAATAGTTTGCACATAATTTTCCCCCGTTCTGTAGATTGTCTTTTCTGATAGTTTCCTTTGCTGCACAGAAGTTTTTTACTTTAATGTAATTTCATTTGTCTAATTTTACTTGTTGCCTAGGCTTTAGGGTTCATATTGGAAAAAAATCTTAACTAGACCAAAGTCCTAGTGTTTCCCCTATATTTGCTTCTAGTCATTTAATAATTTCAGGTCATACATTTAAGTCTGATCCATTTCAAGTTGATTTTTATATACAGTACAAATTAGGGTCTAGTTTCTTTCCTCTGCAGATGAATATTCAATTTTCCCAGAACCATTTATAAAAGAGATTGTCCTTGGATGTTCTTGCTGCCTTTATTAAAAATCAGTTGGCTGTAAATACAAGGAATTGAATTCATCCCATTGGTCTGTGTGTCTGTTTTTATCTGCTATTTTAGTTACTATCACTTTGTAGTATGTTTTGAAATCAGAGATTCTAATGACACAGCTTTGTTCGTTTTTCTCAGATTGCTTGGACAGGTCTTTTGTGGTTCCATATAACTTTTTTTCTATTTATCTGAAAATTTCCATTGGTATTTTGACAGGAATTGCATTTAGTATGTAGATCACTTTGGGTACTGTGGACAATTCTTCCAACCATGAGTATGGGATGCTCCAACCCTTCTCTTTGCCTCAAAACACATACCTATTCTGATCTCAGTCAAAGCCAAGCAGCATTTCAGCCACCTTTAATGTATTTCCACTTGCATATTTCCCTACTGCCTCTGAATCAAGGGACTAAAACTGAAATCACTCATTTCTTCCTCTTCCCAGTGTCTTCACTTCTCTCCTTAGCCTCCTTGTTCCTTTGTACTGCTTGATATTTTTAATTTGCCTTTCTTTTTTACTCGTTCACAAACTCAGTTTCTGCTTCTTATTCTGTCTGTCACTCCAACCTGTCAAGAAGAAATTCTATCATCTTTTCATTTTCTTTTACCTAATAATCAAAATTCTCATTCTTTTAAGATCTAAACTATCATCTCTGAAAAGTTTCCTGAGATTCACTCCAGCCCCTTATAATTAATCTTGTCCTTCTCTGTGATCTTACTATACTCTTATGCTCCTTTTCATATTCCTTGCTATATTCTAACAGTATTCATTTTAAATGTATGCTACCTTTTGGTCAAAGTATGTATCCCAAGTTCCAGCTTTCACATGCACATTTCAAGCATCAAGAAAGAAGGCAATGATAAAAAAAAAAAAAACAAAGAAAAAAAGGTGCCTTATAAAAAGTCTATTGCATAAGTGAAACACTCTAGGTCCTAAGGTCATACACCGTCTCTCCACAACGTGGTTTTGCCTTATACCTTTATAGGGAAAAGTAGACAGGCTCAGGGGAGATGATTTACAGTTGGGTGGTTTTGCAGTTAGGGGAAGACACAGTTGACTGAACAGGAAATATTTATGTCTGTATTTAGCTATTTTTAGGAACGTGGATGGATTAACACACACACACACAGGGGTGAACACATTGCTCCTCCAACACAGTCTTACAGGAACACAGCTGAAGTTCAATACTGAAAGAGGGTTTCTCAAAATTTCAAAATACTTTTGCTAAATCAGATAGTGTAGGACTTAATCACCTCTCTCTACTAGCTTCAAGGGAGGCTGTAAAATGTAACCTTTTAGAAGTTAGATGGCCAGGTAGAAATGGACACTGACACTAAAGAGAATAGTAATTGAGAGCAAACTAGCCAGCTAGCACTTGCCATGCCCAGGTGGCCATATTAATTGCTGATAGTTGCCCTCCTCTACCCTTGCTCCTTCTAATCTAGTCTTCACATGGTGGCCAAAGTTCTCTTTTTAAATTAGGAAACAAATCATGTTTCTGCTTGTTTAAAACTCATCTGCTGATTCTGGAATAAAATGCATAGTGAAAAGGCCCTAAATCAGCTGCTTTTGTCAATCCTGTTCATTTTACACCATTCTTCTCCATACATAGGAATATGAGTCAAATCTGCTTTTTTGTACTTTTGAACCAAACAAGCCCTTTCTACTTTTCTTCTCTCCAAGAACATCTTCCTTCCCTAGTTCTTCATGTACTCGACTCATTTTGAGCTCAAATATTGCCTCTTCAAAGAAACCTTCCTTGATTTTCCCATCTAAACTAGCTTTCTTAGTTACTCTCCATCTTAGCATTCTGGTTTTCTTCTTCATACTCTTTTATCTTGGAAGACTTGTTTATTGACTGT